AATATAGTGCGCTCAATAAGACTCAAAGAACAACCTAAACTAAGAGTTCATTATGAGCATAAAGGCTCCGAAATAGGGCTCCTTAAAGACTCATTTATGACTTCAAATATTTGCTTATTAATTGCAATTATTATTTTTTGGCTTGTGATTAATCATATAATTAATTAATCGATTATTTTATTTTTTTTGCCATCCCTACTAGTAGATTAGCGTGATTAAGCAGTTTTATTTTATACTTTTCTCTATTGCTGTCGATTTCGGATTTAACCATCGGTATACTTTATATTTTCATTGCGGACATACCACGATGCTCCCGTTAAAGCCCTTAAGCTGAAATTAGTCAAGAACGTAAACCTACCGGTACGTAAACCCGAGTCAGCTGACACGATCTGTCTTACCAAAGCGCCATGTAAATGAAAACTCAACACCGCAGAATTTTTCTGTAGTTGTAGCCCGTAGCGCAGAAATCTGCGGAATTTAGATTTTCCCGTGTCAGCTGATTTCTCCTTCTTTAGATGGTTGCCACTTCGTCAGTTTTGCAGATGGTAAACATGTTATAAGTTCCTATTCGAAATATGTTTAAAATATTTGAAATTTACTATTAAATAAGGTTTTTGTTGAAAACTAAGTAGTTTATATTTAGTTACAATCTATAATAGCACGAAAAATTGTGGTTGAAAGGGTAAGTTTATGAAAAGGCATTGAAGAGTGCCAACAGTGTAGTAAGCAACACTGAGGGCTCCAGTAATCGACAAAATTCTGCGTATACAGACTGCGTTTAAGTATACGTTCTGCGTTCTCGACTAATTTCAGCTTTAGCGTTTTCGATTGAAATCTTTGGATCCTGTCAATGTCCAGTTCAAGTTGGCTGACTAGATTCATTTGTGTAATCTTTGTTGATACGTGTTTGCGCTAAGTTAGTCTCCTATTCAATGAAAATGCTGAAGTCTAGAAAAAAGAAGTCTGATGAGGAGATGTGGTGATCTCCCAAATAGTGCTATAACTTCTACCGCTTAGACTTTGTTGCTTTTTCAATTTTTCCTAATAAACAATACAAAGCTCAATAAAAATATGAAAAATAAAATGTTAACAAGCCACAATAACATTGACGAAAATGTTGTATGTTTACACTTCTGTTCGTTGGCTTTTATGCGCCAGTCGGTCAGCTTCTAGTACTTTTGAAACTCATTGGGACATTTATTACGAGTAACTAAGTATCATCAAGTATCAGCAATATCATCTGCGAAGGTGGATGTTAGTATATCCTTGCTAGTTGGAATATCTGAAGTGTAGACGGCGCAGAAACATGGACGATGTCAAGCAAAGCCGAGAAGCGCATTGGCGCCTTTTGGGAGAACTATTTTACCCCACGTCTCCATTTTCTACTAAATGTGTCTTAACATCTGTAAAATTTCTATTTTAACTTTGTCCCGTTTTCTCATGTGGGCAACTTGCTGTCTTAACATATCACTTTCAAAATGGCATCAAATGGTGCGGTAAAAATGAAAACTGAATTGTCGAACTACGAAGTGACTGCTGATGTTAAGACAGCGATGGTAAGAAATTCCGCAAGACAGATATGGTTTAACAGTGGAAATTTGCAGTCTCCACTTAACACTTCTGTCTTAGTACACATTTTTTAACAGAATCTTTAGAAGGTGGAGACGTGGGGTTACGCAAGTTCTATGGCCATAACGGAATGACGTATGTATGTACAAACTTTATAACTGCAATCCAAAATACGATGATTGCGTGAGTGTGAACATTTCGTACGCACGACTTGGACGTTCCGTTGAAAATATCTTACGACTCGGTACCAATATTATTAATAGTCACCATACTTGGGCTGGCGCCTAAAAAAGATCTATTGTGCTAAACCGTAATTGTAGGCTATTAAGAAACTATGATACTTAAGAAATTAAGCAGACTGGAGGGTGCCGTGCTCCAAATTTTGGATGGAGATGATAATCGTTCCCCAAGGTGTAGCAGTCTGCGATTCATGATACGCGGGCAGTCACAAAGAATATGCTCTGAGGTTTCCTCCACCAGCCCACAACAGTCCGTCTCTCAAGAAAGCCCCATTTTGTTCAAATAATACCTTAACTTACAGTGTCCCGTAAGGTAGCCTGTAAGAATTCTAAGACCCTCCCGGCTGAGTACAAGGAGTCTTTCTGGGTTCCTCCTGGAAGGAGTTATAAATTTCTTTGATTGTCTCATTCTCTTTGACTTCCGCCAGTGGCCAGCAATCTGAGATTCTCCACAACTTCTGAGCAGTTCTGTAGTGTATCCTTTAGATGTGCCGCAAAAATGCTCAGGACCATGCACGCGCATTTGGCCTCCAAGTTTTGCGAGATTGGCAGCCCTTTCGTTGCCTTCAAACCCTTTATACCCAGGGAACCACCCCAGCGTAACTCTATTTTGTCAAAGGCTAATTTCAGTAGCATGATATCTGTGAACTTGGCAGCAGGATCATCCAGAAAAGGATTGAGAATCTCCAAGTGACCCCAAAGATCCCCAATGTAATCAGGACAGCCGTAGAACGCTCCAGAAGGCCTCCTTTTCAATTAGAATAGATAGAGGAGGAATGTTTGAAATCACATCCAAGGCATGCGTTGAACAGGTGCGCATAGCTGTTGTGATAGCCGCGCAGATCAAGCGGTGTAGCTTGAACGAGATGGCACCCGCACTTACTTGCTTTGCTTTTCGCCACCAGCACAGTGCCACATTTGTAAAAAGGGGTTTCACGACCGTACCGTAAGACCAATACGTTAGTTTGGATGATATTCCCCAAGTTTTGCCATGTAATGTAGTCTCTAGCAGGCATAAAACGTCCTTGTAGTCTTGTTGGTAACATTAAAGATATGTGAGTTCCAATAGAGTTTTTTGTCCAGAGTAACTCCTAAATACTTCAATTCTTCTAAGAACACAATTTCTGTCCCTGCCAAGGAGGGTCTAGTCAAGTTGACTTTCCTTCTTTTGGTAAATGGGACAACGGCGGACTTCAGTGGGTTTATTGACAATCCATTTGAAGCAAACCAGTATTATCTAATCTTAGCGCGCCTTGCAATCTGGAACAAATAGTGTCCTCGTTCCAGCTGACAACGTAGATGACTAGATCATCTGCTTGTCCATATGCCTTGAATCCATTGCCATTTAGCTTTTCCAGGAGTTCGTCAACAACCATAGTCCATAGTTGGGGCGTGAAGGGAGAGCCTTAAGCTGATGTCACATAAAACTTTTGCTTCGCTTTACGTGACAGATTCGCTTTGACAGATAAGATGAATTGTATGAAAATGCACAAAGCATGCCATATAAATCGTTGAAGCGGCAGCGCGAAGCGAAAAGATGGTCAACTCCCATCTTTTTGCGTGCTTTGACAATCAGCCGGTTTAATATTTATTTTGTTTCGTCCAAATTCGGGTTTTCATGCAGAAACATAAAACTTAATTACATTGCTGATAATTTTAAATCAAAATAATTAAAATCCACAGCAACTTTGATGAGTAAAAAAGCGGTACAACATTGTTTTCTTTGCGTTCATTGTGGCATACCTTTTGCGTCTGGCGCTTTGCTGGCAAAGTTATAAATGTCACGCAAAGCTACAAAGTTTTATCTGGCATCAGCTTTAACGACACCCACGGGTGACCATTACTGCTTGCCTAGTGTCTCATAGTGCCGCTATTATAGTTAAAAAAAGTGGCGATTTATTTTACAACATAGTCTCCTTTTAGCTAGATAGCCTTGACCCAGCGATGCTCCAACTTCTTTAACCCGTCTGAAAAATATGTCTTCTCGAGATCTGCAAAGTAGGCCTCCGTGGCGGTGATGACCTCCTCATTCGACTTAGATTTCGGCCCGGTGACTGAAGTTTTCAAAGTTTGGAAACAAAAAGAAGTCGCACGGGGCCAATTAGGGAATACGCCCAATTGGACCAACTAAAACACTGTCCTGAAGTGGTCTCACGGTTGCACTTGTTGTCCGCGATTAGGCTGAAATTTGTCTTCGAGAATGTACTACACGATAGTAAACTTGCCTTGTGCTAGTGGCGCCATCGTGCGGAGAGACTAAGTACTTATCGGACTGCCCTCGTATGATCCATCAGTTAGAAGGCTGGGAATATCCTTCCTTATCATAGCTGTCGATATTGCTTCATAAGACGTATTGACGAAAGCCGGTACCAAGAGGTAGATAACGAAAGTATAGGCGCGCACAAATACGATGGAGGGATCAAGTGCAGAAGAACCTGTGTACACTTGGGTACCGGCAGAGAGAGAGCGCCAATTGGCGAAGTTGTATTTTCACGGCCCAGGCCGGAAATCGGTTGCAGTGCCAAATTATGTATCAATATTTTTAGTTAAAATTTTTTTGCTAACAAGGTACAACATCTCAGCATATGTACATACTTTAATATGTAAATACTTACGTATGACAAATGTAAATTTTTAAAAATTTCCTACAAAATTTTGTCTCCTCTATTCCCTCAAATGAGGATATTATTACAATGAACTTAATCAAAAACGTATTATATACTTACATATATATTATTTTGAAGCAAACGAATGAGGGCAAATATTATTATATACAGCTACGGAAAAAGGGAAAACAAACAGTTCGACATGCAAAGTAAATCATAAAACAGAAGAGTGTAAATCGAATTTCCGTTATCGCCTTTGGATTTTCCTTATCGCATTTACAAATTTGGGATAGAATAAACAAATTTCACAGCTACTTATTTATGTACGTATGTAGTACATACATACGAGTGCTTACAAATGTATAAAAAGGATACGGAAAGTGCGGCTGATACAAGCGAAATAAGCAGGAAGTGTGAAGTACTCGC